TTTTTTTGTTTTTAAAAAAGAATCACTCTATGCATTTAAAACTTCTAAAATATTTTCTAAAATGAAGGAGTTGGAAGATCCGTAAATGATACTACTGCATCGCTGCCTTGCTTGATCTTTGTGAAATGAAATGAAAATCTTTTCAAGTATTGAGTTGAAGATTTAAGAAAACCTTCCCATTAGGATAAAGCCTTCCTAATCGAAAGCCATTGTAGGTAAAACCTTAAGCCAAAAGACGCACTTCTAATAAAACCCAAAGGGACATGAAACTATGGAAAGATAGCCAACTTTAGAATTCAAAAGTTTTCATAATTGTAAGAAGCCTAAGATAAGGTGGCATGCCCAAACAATCAATTCAGCGCTGGACCAGCATGAAAACATCCTCAGAAAAACTTACGCTGAGTACGTTGGGGTCAATATTTACACTAGGTGGATGAGTGGGATGACACGGTGTTTCATGTGATAGCTCAAGATAAAAGATTTGTATGCTCACTAACCATTTGTTATTAAGAGATATTGAGAAATCATGCGCAGGTGTCTACTTTTTTGCCGCCCACTTGTTCTTTGAAGAACATGGCGCACCAAAGAAGGACAATTGCAAACACTTTAACCCTAGCGACCACCGTAACCTAATATACCCTAGTCACTTTCTCAAATCTAAAACCAGAATATTAGATTTATCTAAGCCTTAAAATAATCATCTTTCAAATCTGAAACTAACACCCAAATGTCCTAGTCAAATAAGCCCTGAAAAATAATCAAAATTGAGATCAATTTGATTCTAAATTGAGGAGGAGGTCAAGAGATCTCCAAAGGTCCAAGTCCCGCATGTACCAGATTTACGGTTGGAAAGTTATGGTTGACAGAAGTTCGTTCGATTGAAATTTCATTTTGGTGCTGTCTATTAATTCCAAAACCTTGAGGCTAGGTGTCCAAAGCAAAAAGACCCAAAATGCCATGGGGTCGGCGTTTGAACCCAAAAATCGACCTAGCCGTAGGAGGGTCCAACATCCACCTCGTTTGACCAGATTTGACCGTAATTTTGAGATAAACATATTGGATAAACTTAAAAAATGTGTGTAACTGCGCATTGAAGCCTCTATAAAGGGTACACTGAGCAACGACGAAGCCTCCCTTAGAAAACCCTAATTTTCGTCAAAACCTTATTGAGCCAACCTTAATGTTTCCAAACACTAATTCTAGAAAAACCTTATTTAGGAAATCCTAAACCCTAACTGTAAACCTAAGCCCTCAACCCTAGAAACCTAGGAGCTTGCCTCCTAACCCTAGATCTAGGCAACCAAACATTAGAAGCTTAACTTCCCTTTTCAACCATTTTTAGTTAATTTTTGGTCAATTTCAATTAAATTTAAAGAGAAAAGAGAAGGCAAAACGGCATAAACAATCTGCGGCTCTAATACGGGCACCAATTATGGGTCTTTGTGTTGCTGGGCTAATTGGCCCTGCTAGATAAGTTTTTTTTTTATTTATTTAGTTTTAGTTTAATTAATTCAATTTCAGTTTCTTATGGTTTGTGGTAGTATTTTTGCATGATCTTAAGCCAGATCTGTAGGCAGTCCTCAAAGAACCCTAATATCAACAAATCTGGATTATATTTGAGCTGTAATTTGATGGACTCCACTAATTTCTACCAGCCTTCAATTTTTAGCTTTTTTAAGGCATAGATTTGGACAGATTTTATCAGATATCTCGCCAGATTTGACCGTAAATAATCCTCAAATGTTATTTACTGCATTTATCCATTTTTTATTGATCTCTTTTCACTTATAATAATAAGAAATTCCTTCTTCTCCACTTTCAAAATATCTCTTTCAGGCACATGTTTATCACATTCTTTTTCTATCTTTGCTCTTATCACCTATTGTTTCCCAAGTGGCCTTGTTCCAACCCACTTTTATAAATCTACCATAAACACTTGCAATATCTTGAAAGACCTCCAAAATTCAAACAGACTCTCTCCAGAACCAGAACAACCATTGAAGAACAAAAAAAAGGGGATCATGGTTGCACAGTTAGCAAAGTACAGCTAAATCTCCAATGTCATTGCTAAAGAACACTTTGCTTCTAATTCTAAAGCCAACATTATTAGTACATTCCCCACTTGAAATCTCTTATATCATTTTGACACAATGCTTCCATGGCTTATATGCCCAATTATTTAACCCTCCGAAGTTTGGCAGTGGGGGAGAGAACAATCACGCAATCCCATATCGCAATGCCTTTTCCCTATTCTCATTGATCTACATGAGAACATTGAGCTTGTGAATATCTTGTCCTCCATTGCCACAAAATTTCCTCACTTATTTGGTTATATCTGAGTCCTCTCTTTCATTCCTGACACTCTAAATTTGGGGGTGGCAATAGATCCGGTATAGGTCGGGTCTGACTGGACCCGGACCCAGACCTAAATGCATTTGGGTCTAAAAGTTGGACCCATACCCGTACTCATCAGGTCTCAGATCTATCCCTTTGGATCCTGGGTTTGGTCGAGTTCATTGCAACCCTCACTATGAGCTTCCTTTTGATAGCCTACAATGGTAAAAAACAGAGAACTGATTTTTGAGGGGTGGGCAATTAGAGAGAGGGAGAATTACATAGAGGGAGGATGGTGATGGGGTTTGGCTATTTGGGGATCTAGAAGAAGTCGAAAGTATTGAAATGAGTTTAGGGTTGGAGCTTTGGCTTTTGGGTAAATTAAAAATTCGGGTCCGTGTACCCGTTAGGTCAAGTACAGCAGGACCGGACCCTGAGTATTTAGGGATCCTTTATTAGACCCAAACCCTAAACTTGGACCCATATCGGGACCCGTGTTGGGAATACCTAGTGGGTATGGGTTGGGTCCAGGTCCTTTGCCACCCCTAGCCGAAATCAAATGATTGAAAGATATTACTAAAAATGTTTCTTTTGCACTATCAAAGTTTCCAAACTGACCTATCTCTTCCTTGCCATTTTCTCGAATCTTATTGATGCAAGAGGTATTGATACTCAGTGTAAAACAATTTTTTATCGTTATAAAAAGGGTTTAAAAATAGAATTCCTCAAATGCCCTTGATTGTTCACCATGCAAAAGGAAGATCACAAGTTTTCACAGAAAAATTAAATGTTCAAGGTTCCCAAAAACTATATCATAATAATGATAATGGCAAAACGATCATTTCACTGGGGCAACTTCAATTGAATGAAAGAACCACATTAATCCTTTGGGTGTAAGGCTAGAAGACAAAACAAATGTTTCCATTGAAAATATTAAAACTTCAATTTCGCAGACCTCGAAAAAAGGGAGGGCATTGACATCATTTGGCTCGGACAGGGTTAATAATACTCTTGGTTGTTTAGGATTCTCAATTCTAAATAAGAGTAGTTTGGGCCTTTTGAAGTAAGGTTTTAAGAATTTATTTATTTTTTATTTTAAAAAGGGTTTGTATACAATGATGTCACTTACCTTTATTAAAGAGAGATCATAATTACTTTCAACTATTTAATGTGAAATATGATATTTTGGATGTGTCACAAAGTTTGAGAAATTTTTTTTAAAAAATTGAGCTTCATCAATGAAATTAATGCAACTACTCAATTTCACATCTAATCATCAATATTAATGTAACTACCTTGTACCAAAGATAAATGGTTTTGTTATATACTTTTCCCTTTTAAAACATGTAATATATGCAATCAATTATTGAAAAGTCTTTAAACAAAATATATTTCGAAAATAATAATATTTTTAAAAGAAAATTTTCGTATAGAACCCTAATTCATCGTATTATGTCATGGTATACCCTCTTTTCGTTTTTCTTTCAATCGGCATAAGTAAATCCGTAAGGATTTCACCGTATCCCCTTATCTCTTATCTCACTCTTTTATTGATTTTTCATCCCAACAAATCTTTTTATTCCATTTCATCCCAAATTTTTTTTTAACCCTTTTTTTCTTTTTTTACTCATTAAAATTTTTTTTAAGTTGAAATTGTATATAAAGATTTGTTGGGACTATTTTTTATAATAAAAAAATAATAAAATAAAGAGATAAGAGATGAAGGGTATGGTGAAATCTTTTTGGGTTTTCTTATACTCCCTGAAAGAAAAATGAAACAAGGGTCTATCATGAAATAAATCGAGGAATTAAGGTTCTATACGAAATTTTCTCTTTGACAATGTGCACAAGTTGGATCACTGATTCCATTAAGCATGCATAATTTTGTGTGGTAGGATAAGCAAAGAAATCCAAAATAAATAAAAAATTAAAAATTGGCAAAATGGTAAAAAATCTTGCGTGTGTCAAACTAGAATACGCGTTGTCAAGTTTAGCGATTCCAAGTAAATAGTTTCTCTTTTGAAAATTTTAAAAATTTTAAAAAGATGCTGCACTATACTATACTCCCCTAGGAGTATACTATTCATTTACTCCTTGGGGTAAAATCTTTCTAGGAGTAATTCTAAACTCAAAATTAGATGTAACCTATTCAACAATAAAAATGATAATGATAATTGTATCCTATGTGCATTTGTAAAAAAAAAGTCTAAAAATATAAAAATATTTTTAGATAGTAAAATCTAAGTATTAAAAAACTCAAATTTCAAATGTTTCTTTTGAGAATAATCGATTCTTCAGCGGTTTTCAAAATTTTAAAATGAAAAAAATCTCCTATTAGGTCTTTTGACCAAGTGAGTAATATAAACTGTGCTCCCTCAGGAGCATAATATACCTACTTTTTTTAAATTTAAAACAAACTTTTATAACAAGCGAAATAGCCAACAAATAAATAGATAAAAAAAAAAAGAAAAAGAAAAGGAAAAGCTAACGGGCCTCGGACAGCAGGCAGTGTGTAAGGGCTGTTTGTGCGCCTATCTGTCACTGAGGCCCCCACCTGTCACTGAGGCCCCCACAATGCTCTTTTCATCAAAATGAAAAAAATGATTCCCCCAACTGTCATCGCATTTCATTTCGTTGTCATTTCATCTAAATTTTCGTTTCCATTTAGACGAGGTTGGGGGTTATGTAAACCTCATTTCCCCACTGTTTTTTGTCGCTCTCCCTGCTCTTTCTCTCTCCCTTCAACCCTAAAGAGCTCTGCAACTCTCAAGGTGAGCTTTTGTATGCTCCTTTTCACCTCTTTTTTCACCTTTTTTCTCGTATTCTTTTGGTTCTTTGGAACATTTTCGTTATATCTCCCTTTTCTGAGATATTCTTCCTTTTTTGTGCTTTTTTTTGGGGTAAGATCTAGGGTTTATTTGTTCATATTAGGATTTGTAGTGTTTTGCAAGAGCTTTTGGGTGAATTTTTGGTGGATCTGGGTTTTCTGATGATCTATTTGAAGACTACGGTGAAGGTGATTTTTTGGTTAATATGCATTTGAAATTTCTGGTATTTTGAAATTTTCTTTGAATCTGAAAACGGTTAGGGTGATTCTGTTTGTTAGCGGTTTCACATTTAAACGTTTTCTCTAACTGTGGTAGATGATAGTCTATACGTTTTGGGGGTTATTTGACAGTTTTACGAACTCTTTCTATTGATCAGTGCTTGGTTGAGGGTTTAAGCTTTGCTTTTGTTTTTTATTTATCTTCTTGATCTCCATTTTGTGAAAGAGTTATTTGAGGTTTTATTTTATATTGTAATAGCAGTCCAGCTTGAAGGGATTGCTTTTGTGCGTGTTTAGGGAAATTAGCTCTAGTTTTTTTCATTATCTCCTGATTTCCTGATAATCTGCTTTAAATTTAGAAGGATAACTTCTTTCTTAGAAATATTGACATGATACCCTCTGAGTTAAGGATACTGCTTTGAACTATGTTCTATAGAAATTTACTGATCATTTCATAAAGTATGAAACATGATCTTGAGTATCCTGATCATGTATGATAGTAAATACGCTTCGTGAAAGAGCTTGACTTCTACTCATGTAGCCACAGTATTTCTTTTTTCTGGATGGTCACGTTTGCCAATGCTAGTCCATCTTCTTCCACCTTGAAAACTTTCATACTTTTCTTAGTTTGAAATCTTTTTCTCAAAACGTTAACTTTCAACAGGGAAAAGACAACTGATTAGAGAATTGTGGACTTTTGTTGCCAAATGTTATACTTTTCTTAGTTTGGAATCTTTTGCTCGAAATGTTAACTTTCTACGGGAAAAAGACAGCTGATTAGAGAATTGTGGACCTTTGTTGCCAAATTTTAATAAAACTGAGTTTTTTTTGTGATCTATGGAAAGTAGCATATGCCTTGGGTGGTTTCCATTCAATTTTGTATTGAAGTAATTTATGATGCCATATGACCTTCCGATTTTTATCTATTAAGGATTTCTGTGCATGATATGGATCTAATTATCTAACTGATTGTTAATATGAAGTATGTTGATGATAGTTATAAACAATCCGTTTTAGAACATGGGTTGTTATCAATAATGTGTTTTGCTGAGAATTTTAGAGATCGGTATCTCCAGGACAGAATTCGTACATGTTCCTTGTAGTTGTCTTCTTTTCCTTGTAATTCTTATGGAATCTGAAGGTGTAATGTTTTAAAAATATTAACAGTAGCATGATCAAAGTTGGGAAGATTGGAATTTGATTATCTTTTGCTTGATTTGTTGGAGTTTCAGTTGCCTTGGAAACTGTTTTTCCGGTATTTTGAACAATTGACTAAGTTGTAGACTCAGTTGCTAGAATTTTTGGTCTGTGAGACTTGAAAGTGGTAAAACTCATTTTTGGCTTATGGAGTCATCATTTGATTAAGATTGGGTCTTACAGAGCATGCTAATTATCTCAAGGGTAATAATCTAGCTTTGTGAAATTGCTTTGATCAGTTCTGATTTTCGGTTGGACATGATCTTGATAGTTGTGATCTTGTCTATTCTTCAAAAATACCAAGTGCCTGCAAGAGCTTTTACATTCAACTTTTTGTATGTGTTTTGACCCCTTTTACCCTGCCTACTTCTGCGTTTTGCTTATCTGACATCTTTTCCCCTGATTTGGTTTTGAACTGTGATATTTGTGTTAGCCCTCGGTCTTCAATTTTTTGTGTGGATCTATCTTAAAATGATTTGCTTTTGTAGTGAATTGAATTTGAATAATTGCTTGATCAAAGGAGAATTCTCATGCTTGCAAATTCTTATAAACATAGTATTTCTCTCAGATCTCTGTGTATGTGTCTTGATGCTGTCCGATTGATTTCTTACTATTGGGGTTTTCCAATTTCTCTACCAGGTTCTGTAAAATATGGCAGAATCTGAGGATATCCAACCCCTTGTCTGCGATAATGGAACCGGAATGGTCAAGGTGTGATAATTGCTTCCCATACACATTTCTTATACCACATAACCTCATGAGGAATGCCTCTTATTAGAAACTTACGTTAGAGCTTCCTTTGCATGTATGTAGGCTGGGTTTGCAGGAGATGATGCTCCTAGGGCAGTGTTTCCCAGTATTGTGGGGCGCCCTCGACACACTGGTGTTATGGTTGGGATGGGGCAAAAGGATGCTTATGTGGGAGATGAGGCCCAATCTAAGAGGGGTATTCTAACATTGAAATACCCGATTGAGCATGGAATTGTGAGCAACTGGGATGACATGGAGAAGATTTGGCACCACACCTTCTACAATGAGCTTCGAGTTGCACCTGAGGAGCACCCTGTTTTATTGACTGAAGCCCCTCTCAACCCTAAGGCAAACAGGGAGAAGATGACTCAGATCATGTTTGAAACATTCAATGTGCCAGCCATGTATGTTGCCATTCAAGCTGTTTTGTCTCTCTATGCCAGTGGTCGTACAACCGGTAAGTAGGTTTCTTTATACGATTATCCTTTTTTTTTTGAGTGGTTAGAATCTATCCTATTTAACTTAAAAAGTAACATTGTATTTGGAATTTTTTTTTTTTTTTATGTCATCTTGGATTTCTAGCTGATTCTGATCTAAAGTTTCTCAATTTTATCTGAAAAGTTCGAATAATCTTGCATGGTTCTGCTTATTCTTCTTTTAGCACCATGTATACTAATGTCAGATACGTGACATGTCCCTCATTTAGAGCAATCTATGCCGGAGTCAGATATGTGACATTTCTCATGAAATTTTCATTCACAACTAGTCTGCACATCACTATCTGCTTACTATATTTACAATAAAAGGGAAGAAACCCAACCTCCCATTCACATGTCTTAGTTGCATCTATAAATAACTTCCTCCGAATCACATTTTCATTAAAAAGCAAAGAAAAATGAGGAAACTCCAACCCTAGTGATTCAATCCATTTTCCACACAGGCAAGAGTTTCCCAATTATAGTATTTTGTTAACAACTTGTTTTGGTGCATCAGCTGATGCATTCTATTTAACTGCGGGCATCACTTTTTAATACATAGCTGTCAGGTGTGTCCGGGCATCACTTTTTTGCTCATGGCCTCATGGGGTTTTGGTGCATCAGCTGATGCACTTCGTTTAAGTATGGTGTTTTTGTGCATCGGCTGATGCATTCCATTTTCCACCCACATGCATCACTTTCGAATTTAATTTAATTTTTTTTTTCAGATTCGTGATCATGATAGTCAAGATTATCGAATTTTAGATCCAAAATTGATCTCTAAGATGGAGGTGATAATAACATGGACACACCAAAACGTTTTCCTTTTATTAAATAGGAAAAGACCAAAAATAAAACCAAACATGGACACACCTTTTTCTTTTTATTAATGAGGAAAAAACCAAAAACAAAACCGATTCCACAACTCATTAACCTTGGCTTCTTTTGCTTGGGCTCTAGGTATCGTGCTCGACTCCGGTGATGGTGTGAGCCACACAGTGCCAATTTACGAGGGTTATGCCCTCCCCCATGCCATCCTCCGTCTCGACCTCGCTGGTCGTGATCTTACTGATGCGCTCATGAAGATCTTGACGGAGCGTGGTTACTCCTTCACAACCACAGCAGAACGTGAAATTGTTCGTGACATGAAGGAAAAGCTGGCCTACGTGGCCCTGGATTATGAGCAAGAGCTTGAGACTGCAAAGAGTAGTTCGTCCGTTGAGAAGAGCTATGAGCTCCCTGATGGTCAGGTGATCACAATTGGGGCAGAGAGATTTAGGTGCCCTGAGGTCCTCTTCCAGCCTTCTCTCATTGGAATGGAAGCGGCTGGTATACATGAGACTACATATAACTCTATCATGAAGTGTGATGTGGATATTAGGAAGGATTTGTATGGGAACATTGTGCTTAGTGGGGGTTCGACTATGTTCCCTGGCATTGCCGATCGTATGAGCAAGGAGATAACTGCGCTTGCACCAAGCAGCATGAAGATCAAGGTGGTGGCACCTCCTGAGAGGAAGTACAGTGTCTGGATTGGGGGTTCTATATTGGCATCACTCAGCACCTTCCAACAGGTAGCATTTTTTTTTTTTGGGTTATTTGATGATTTTAACAGTGGGAATGGAGGCTCTCTCTCTCTCTCTCTCT